AATAGAGCCGATGTACATAGCTCCTGAAGAAGGGGCTCCCCAAGAACAATTTCGCGAGAAACTCTCCAAGAGGAAGCCGCCGGGCAGTGTACTCTCCTGGTATCGCCAGTTTGAAGCGTACTCATATGAGGATGTCTGTCATGCATTCCGCGAGAACTTTGGGGAGCTAGACTATCAGGTCGCGCTCCACGAAGAAATAACTAGCCGTCGTCAAGGCAAAAATGGACCCGTGGCTTAGTTCGTAGCCAATCTAAAGGGTCTTTTTGCTCGAACGGATCCAGAATTGCTAGAAGCATAGAAGCTAATGTATATGTATCACAATATGTCACCGAAGTACCGAATCGGTTGAAACCTCAGTCCAAACATGACAGTGAAGGCGTTAGAGCCACCCAGAGAGCCAGAGGAATCACTGTGCCCTAGCTTCGCTCATCAAGGCTCCAAGGCTCAGAAAACCCCTCAACGAGCAGCCCTGAAGGCACTGTTTCCAACAGAAGAGAATTCCGAGCCTACAGAAAGAAGTTACGAAAAAAATATCTTCTTCTAGGAGCTAGAAGTGGCACTTGCCCTGTAAGGACGTGGTGCCTCTTCAAGGAGGGGTGGGGATGCTGGCTACGCCAGACCTAGCGCCAGTCAATCGAACCCGCTTGGCATCACATGTTACAATTTTGGCCAGAGAGTGAACTCTGGACGCATCTGCATTGCGCCGAGGACAGTATTCTGTTACGTACGTGGTAGGAAGAATGTGTATTTCCCACAGTGCCCGAAATGCAACCCGGGAAACGCCGAGCCGGCATCGTAAGTGACACACCAACGTCTACGTCGCCGCGAAACTCGGAAATCGCAGAGACTGCAGAGTCCATCCCAGAAGCCGGGATGGAAACAATCTCAGTGAAAAGTACAGACCCTGATATTGAAAGAACTGTGGAAAGGAAGCAAAGGACTCCTGACACGGTGAAGCACGAACCCGGAGATGGAAAGAAGAGTGATACACTCACTCTAGAATTCCTGACGGATCCCTTGAAACTAGTCTCGTCTGAATACAACTCGAATTGGGAGTTCGTAAAACAAGTGATGAAAGAAGGAAAAACATTTGCTTTTCACGTGGATATTAAAATCCACGGGAGAAAGATCCACGATCTAGTGAACTCGGGAGCATCTCGTACTTTCACCGGAGAGGCGGGAATCGAGCTGCTGACCAAACTAGGGATTAGCGTGAGAAGAATTCCACTCAGAAGAGTTTTAATAGCGAATAGCCAACTGGAAATGGTGAAAGAAGCCTCCAAAACACCGTTGGTATTAGGAGGACGAGCAGTCACAGGGGAAATACTTTGGATGGTCTCACTATCCAAAGATTTCATACTGCAATTAGATTTCCTGAAAGAAGCTCAAATGGTCATAGATTTCTTTGATCAGTCCTGGTTCTTCAGAGATAAACCTGAGGAGTCCTTGAAGTTTGCAGCAGTCGAAAGGGCTTGCTACATAACGGTACGCAATGGTCTGAAGACCCCTGGAGAAGAGCAATACAGTCAACTCCAACAGCTCCTGGATGAAAAAATTCCAGTGATAGAAGGAGGCTTCCCTCCGATTTCCGAATTAGCCCTCCACAAAATCAATGTTAAAGGCAAGGAGCCAATTCGATAACGAGTTAGATTAGCAGCCCATCACTTGAAAGTAGTGATGTGGAAAGATATTGATAATATGCTCAAAGATGGCATTATAAAATCATCAGCAAGCGACTGCAATAACTCAGCCGTAATGGCGAAGAAGCCTAGCGGAAAATATTCATTTTATATCGACTTCCGTCTGATAAATGAAGAGACGAAAAAGGATGCGTATCCGCTAGCCAACATGGCCGGCATCCTTGACGAATGGTGACAAGCCAATTACATAACGCTCGATTCGATCGTGGCGTATTGGCAGATTCCGTTGGCAGAGGAATTGAAAGAGATCACTGCTTTTACGGTACCTGGAAGAGGGTTCTTTCAGTTCGCATGAATGCTGTATAGCCTGCCGAACACCCCTGTAACCTTCCAGAGAGCACTGGATTAAATAATTGGTCCAGAAATTTATCCCCACGTCTTCGTGTATTTAGATGATATCACTATCATTTCAAGTACGTTTAAAGAATACCTGGATGGACTGAGAAAAGTTCTCGATAAACAAACAAATCACGGGTAAAGTATAAATCGTGTTCTGTCTATCCGAAGTCAAGTACCTCGGCTTCGTAGTGAATAGAACGTTAACTGGGCGAGCCTGAAAAGACATCAGCGGTCGTAGAGTTCCAAGTACCCAGGAAGCCCAAACAGATTCGTCGGTTTCTAGGAATGGCCTCCTGGTATAGATGATTCATACCAGATTTTGTAACTGTAGCGCAATCTTTGACACGGCTAAGTAAGACGAAACAGTCCTGGATCTGGGAGACAGAACAGCAGGAGGCCTTCAAGGCGCTGAAAAAGCACCTCACATCTTCATCTACACTTGTTTTACCTGAACAAACCCCACAATTTGAATGCGCGAGTATAGGAGAGAGTAGCTAGTGACATCTAGCGCCGGCTGAAGATGCTAAGCGAGAGATGGGAGTGTCATCGAAAGGCGGCTAAGGAAGCCGTCCATGAGGTGGATAGACCAATAAAAATAATACGAAGAGGCGTGGTTAGGGTGAAATCATGCTTCCGAAAATCAGGCTGTCCATACGCTGTTGCTAAATTTGGAAACCCGCCCAGCAGTGTTTAGGGAAAAAGGTCCCACGTACAGGCATTCCTACAAGGCGATTCAAAGGCGCTATCGACTTAGACTAGGCACCAACGGCTAGGTGAGAGGACTAGTGCCTCCTCGACGCCCATCGAGCTGATTGGTGGTGGTGGAGTAACGGATGACCCACCGCCGCTGAGATGGTCAGAGTAGAGGGGGAAGGCTCTAGGAGATGTCGAGGCAGTCGGTGACAGACACTGCAGTCGAGCGGATGAATTATAAGTGCTCGGCGATGGTGGTAAGCGGCATTGCTTCTTAGTTGGAGAATTTGGGTACATTGTAAGAACAAGATCCGAAGCGGCCAAAGAATGGGAAGTGTCAGCGTCCCATACAGAATGGATGATTTACTTCGACGACGTGAGATGGCTTAATTCCATGTTCTCATGGATTCATATCTTGAGGCAAATGAAGTGGTGTTGGCGTGGATCCGTGGGTCGGGAGTACTGCAGACTCTTGGAGACCCGATTGCACTTGCCGCCATGAGTAGTCCCAGTATTGGTCCGCGATGAGATTGCTTTTACTGAGAACAAGTCTCCGGATACATGCCTCGCATGTGCTTCTCTTTGCTTAGCGCCTTGCGGGGTGAGAAGCATTCGCAAGTTAGAAAAGAAATACGCTAGAGGAGTGGAGACATCTTCGGTAAAGAACATGTGATGATTCCCGTGATAAACGCACTTTATCGCAAGTACTCGACTGAAAAGACGGGGATCGATCGAGTGAATTACTCCCAGTATAGTCAACCTCGCCAAATCCGAGACCGGTTTCCGTCAGACTTTCCGTAAATGTTTGGCTGGCGCCCAACTTATTGAGCGATAGAGCAAGCTCAAAGTAGTTTGGGATCTCCGCTGGTGCAGCGCCAGCAAAAACCCCTCACAAGTGAAAAATTTCGCTTTTGAAGGACTGCGTCGAAACAAAGTTTCTACACCCTAAAACGTCATCACATGAGCCGCAATTATCATGAAGGGTATTTTTCTTGTATTCCGCGAAAGTCGAATAATCAATAATGATATTGACTGAGAGTTCTTGTAGAAGAAGCTCGTTCCTTGGGCACGGAAAAATAAATCACTCAAGAACACTTGTTTTATCCAAGATGTTGCCATCTCGCATAAGACTACTGGAGTTGTTGAAATACTTTTCACCATTTACGGTTGTATGTTAGGTTTAGGTTACCCCAAGTACACCCATGCAGGAATGGAATTGCCACCTGGCAGTCCTGACATAAATCCGTGTAATTTTTGTCTGTGAGCTTTTCTCAAGGAAAAATGCTAGAAAAAACATATGACGACGATGGAAAAGTTGCAAGACGAAATTAGCGGTGCTCTCCAAGGTATTGATGAAAACTCAATACAGGGCATTTATACCAGTTTCGAATGTCGAGTACAGTTCTGTAGTATAAGTGATCGCCAACACTTGGACGAGATTGTATTATGAACGGCCAGATGCTTTTGATACAATAAAAAAAAAAACCATTATTTACCTTGAACTGTATTCAAGTTATTCGCAATTTCCTTTGGTCCCACGCTATGAGAAACCCTGTGTGAGTTCCCTACCCCAATACATGACTTTTATGAAGTATGACATACACGACGTTCGACCCCGGCGATATATGACCCTTGCAATGTACGAGTCTCGCGAGTCATGATCCTTCGGAACTCGGATCAAATTCTGTCACATCATCAACTTTTCATCTCACTTCACTAACTCTTACAATTTCTTATATGCTGGAGGAGGGGGGGTGGTCTAAAATAGATGAAAATCGTCTTTCGTAATACGGACAGCTCCGTACCTTACGAAGATCAAACACCGCAAGAAGCATGCCTTTCGAGGGACAAACGCCATTCGGAACTCGTAAGTGTTCGATAATAGAGGGAGGTCAGATAATCTCAAGTAGCATATTATCAGCGGGGTCGACTGAGAGAAGCAAATCGGAAAAAATTGAATTACCTGCTTGCCTTCCTACCTTGATCCTGATGATTGTCCTCCCTGTTCACAGTTGACCCTTAAGTATATCATGCCCGTTTCTTTGACTCCTATATTGAACTTTTCTATTTGACCCTCTGATTCCGATGTACTCATTAATAATTTTCAAAAATCTTTGTGATTGCAATTTTTTGATAAAATATGGCATTTAAAAGTGTCTTCTAAAACACTCTGTACCGAAAATATTCATGAGATAATCTCTGACATTCATTTATACTATCTTTCTTGTTTCAAAATTTTTCTCAAATCATTTCCAATTTTCGTTCCAGCGCTGGTGTTGGTCGTACCGGTGCGTACATAGTAATTGACGCCATGTTGAAACAAGCGAAGAGTAAGGGTGAAATTAATATATTCGGCTTCCTCAAGTATATACGCACACAGCGCTACTCCCTAGTGCAAACTGAAGAACAGTACATCTTTATTCATGATGCCTTGCAGGAGGCAATTGAAAGTGGAGAGACTAATATCGAAGTTGAAAATTTACTTCAATATGTACAAAATATGATATCGCCAACAAATGCAAAGTCTGATCCCTGGAATAGTCTGGAGGCGCAGTATAAACTTGTTACATCCTGGAAACCAAAAGATTTTAATTTAGTATCAGCAACAAAGCAGTGTAATACGCATAAAAATCGTAATCCTGAGATTGTATCAATTGAAAGTTCACGCGTACACTTAACTCCAAAAGCTGGGATCGATGGCAGTGATTATATCAATGCATCGTGGTTCCCTGGATTTAATAAAAATCGTGAATTCATAATAACACAACATCCGCTCCGAAATACCATCAATGAATTCTGGCAAATGCTTTGGGATCATAATTCGAAGACAATTGTCATGCTGACACAATGTGATGAGGATTATCCAGAATTTTGGCCGAAGGAAGGGGAGGAACTGAAGACAGATAATTTTCGAGTTCATTTGTATGGAATTAATACAACCGCAAATGGTGTTGTGCTAAGGGAAATGGTGATCAGATCACTTCAGGAAGACTACGAAATGAGGGTAAAAATTGTTCAATGCCCAGTTAATCAGGGTGGACTGTGGCCGCATAACGATAACCCGAAGGCTTTTATCAGTTTGATACGAGATTTTCAGGCAGAATATCAGAATGGTCCGATTGTTGTTGTGGATAAATTTGGGGGAATTGAGGCTGCTTTGTTCATTTTGCTGACGACACTCATGAAGCAGCTTGATTTTGAAAAGACTGCTGATATTTATATGCACTCCAAATTATTATATATGAAGAGACCCGGGATTTTACGTTCGAAGGTAATCTTTAATATTTATATAATTATGTTTTCTGTATTTTCCTTTTGTTCTATAATAGACTAGTGGTAATACAGTTCCACTAAAATGAAAAAATAACTCCATATTTCATTCAACAGGATGATTACATGTTCATCTACAGATCCCTAGAGAAGCTATTGACATCAAAAGTCAAGGTGGCTCCTGATGGCTACATAATGACTAATGGCCATGTAAACTGCTCTAATGGTTCGAACAGTTCCACAACTGTTCAATCACCCCAACAGATACAAGCTGCATACACAATGAAGAATATTTCAGTCTGTGAATATGCAGGTGGTAATGCGCCAATGGAATATGCTACAGATTACGCCAATCCCAATCATATTAATTTAATCAATGATCTTGGGTGTCCACCGATCGATGGTTGCGCTGATTTTAGTGATCATCATATCATAACTGATATCAATAGCATATCCTTCACAAGTCAAAGCTATGTTACAGATTCTGAGATCGATGGTGATGGCTACATTACCAATGGTAATATGAGAATTCCGCCTGAGGGTATGGAAGCAACTGCCATTACGCCTGAATGATGGAAGCATTCTGCGTATAACGCTGAACATATATTATGGCGTACTATTGTGAAACGTCCTGTTCATAACAAGTACACTTTATTCCATTTCAGTCATTTCGGCTACAGTTTATATGGTTATTACACTATTATGAAAGTTACTCATAAAAAAAATTCCAACACTGAGTAGTATCAAACTCACTCTGATTTTGGTGATTGCATTTGAATTGGTTGAGTCCGATCAGTAGAATCAATAATTTATCTTGACAGTACTAAGAAGCTAAGTTTAGATAGAATTTGCAAAATATTTCGCGAATATCTGAAAAAGGATGAGATTTACAGAAATTCATCAGAAGGTCGCCTTTACTGAAAATTTCATGCTTCCTACAAAAAATTTTAATACATTTTTCGATGAATTCATTCGTTTGACATCTATTTGTAAAATAACTGGCAGACATTTTTCGTTCTCATCTATTTCTTTTACAGTGCAAATGTTCTGATGAACAAAAATATTAGTACATGATAAAATGTGGTGAGACTCATATGAGTGAGACAATGTATACGTAAAAAAAAAAAACAGAAAACTTATAGTGACAGCATGGTCAAACGAATCAATTTGGATGAACCTCGAAAAATTCAGATACCAATACCGAAATTTTTGTTGCGAAGTTTTCTCGGATTCACCATGAAAAATTGCTGTATTTCGTAACACCTGCCACATGATTCTTTATGAGTCCGTCGAAATGGTCCAATTCTACCGTACTTATTACGACTAATTTTTCTCATATTTTTTTCTCCGTGTAATGCGGAAGAATTGAGTAGGAGATCAGTCTAGAGGGCGCCTAAATGAATTCCAGAAAGTAATTATTTTGATGTTTCTAAGATTCGATATGGTGATACAACTTTATAGTCCATTTTGACATGGAAATATAAAGAACTCTTATAATATTATTAATGAAAAATAACCATATATCTAAGTGTAAATAGTAGACGGTACATACGATAAATCCGAGTTTGCCAAAGAAATTCAGATAGGTGGACGTACGTAGTTTAGCAATCACATGGTCAACAGGCACCGCGTATATGAACATCTTCCATAAGACAATTATTGCTATGATCTCATTCTTTGAATTTTTTTTAAATTTCATACCAGTTTTGTTATTGAAGAAATGAACGAAAGCATATTACATTATTTTAGGACATATTACTTCATTCGAATTTCACTAATTTCATCAATTGTACCATTTCAGTTGATCGAATCCAAATAACAAAATTATTTCTCAAGTGAAGTAATATCACGGAATTAGTTAAATTGTATTTGACATATAAAAGTGGACTCATCCCGGAATCCAGTCATTTTAGGAGGGAATTTCTGGAGATTTATCATATAACTGGAACAATTCTCACTTGTAATACCCCGATTAATGATGCAAATCAGGAATTTCCGGAGGATTATTTCCGGCGTAATCATGTTGGACGATCAGAATACGGTATGCTAGTCATGGGCTATTTTCCGATAACTTCATTGCATAGAACGAGATGTATCAAATCCTACAGGCTGAAAGTCTCGAGGGCACCGCACGAAGGAATTTTCTGCAAAATATATGAATTTTTTCTATGCCGGGAGTTTTGAGGAAATTAACTGATAATTTGAGAGCACGAGTGGTATTTAATAGAAGATTCATTTTACTATGATGTCCACTGATCGGAGTAGACGATTTCAAGGAAAAAACAAATGTAGAGCTACTAATATGTGTCCACCAATAAATGAAGAACTACTGGCTTACTTTAATACTGCCACAATGTTTTGTTGGCGGAATTACTAAGAACACACGATGAATAACACTTGATGCTTAACACACGCAGTGTTTTCAAATAAAATGAATTCTACAGGAGGTTTTCCACTGATTTGTTAGTTACCTTTCCGAACATGACAAGCCTATAATTCAGTATTATCCTATTCCAACATGTGTAATCCAACGAATGGAATAACATAAAAATCCCACAAATCTATTATTAAAATCCCAACCAACAGTTGATGCTAACTTCATTGATAGTATTAGTTATTAATAATTGACTTGTCATTGCATTCCTGTTTCCTGATGGATCAATCGAATACTTGTCCGACAGTTGCGAGTGTCGGATATTTCCTCATTCCGACAGTTGGATTGGACTTTTCAACAGTTGATTAATAATTAGTGAATGGGTTAGTTATTGAGTTAATTATGTTAATAATAATGAGTTAATAATGGGTTAATTATTCCTAAAATAATCATTCTCCGAAATAAAAATTCTATGAATCCGACCTCTCCCCTCTACCAATGAAAAATCTTAATTGGTTTTAAAATCTACTCGATAATTCTCAATGTCTGCCTCATTAATGCCAACTCGTTCAAGTATATCCCTACAAAACACATTTTTCGTAAGATTGTTTCCATGTTTTTCATAGACAATTTTTATGATAGTCCTTAGCTATTGAAAAAATTCGAACTAGGTATACTGGAACAGTTTAGGAGATGATATACAATGAAATGCATGCTTCTAACACACGAGGCATAGGCCAAACGGGGGTTATTCCCCCCCCCCCGACCCGCCAAGCGATTTTTCTATCTTATGTTAAAACGGTTCTTATCATGTTTTTCAAAAACTAATCTGTGATAGATTGATCAATTTCACATACGGTGAATTTTTTATAAAATTTTGTACTACATATTTTCGGCTATATTCAACTCTAAGAAGTGGAAATTCCGTGAAAGCATTTCTTATTTGATTCAAACAATTGATTAAGAAATAATTTCTTACTCCATTCAAACAGTTATTGCTACCTGCATCAACAACATGTGAGGATAGAGTTAAGAACTTATGAAAATGAAATAAATTAAGTTATTTAGAATTTTTTCCACAAATCCACAGGGCCTAAATTTGGGGTACGATTGTCTTAGTATATATCTTAATCAACCGATGCAGTAATTATTCATCAACTGTCGCAATCACTGTTGGACAACTGTTCGTCCAACAGTTCCTCTGACACTACTTCTGATTCTCCGCATTCCTCTGCCACCTCCTGTAATGAACAAATCTTAAAAAATATTAAAAAAATGGTTTTAAAATCTACTTGATACTTCCCAATAACTGCCTCATTAACACCACCTCAATAATTAATCCGTTCAGTAATTATTATGAATCACTGAATGGTCAATTAATAATAACTAATAATATCAATATAGTTAGTATTAACTGTTAGTTAGAATATTAATAATAGTTTTGTAGAATTTTTATATGATTCCATCAGCCCGAATTACACAAGTCTAAATTATATACTTGTGAATTACACATATTCAACTGACCCATATCAAGTTGCACCACGACATCTCCGATTTACACTTGTTAACTTGCGAATTACGCAAGTGCAAATTAGAAGTACACAATGTAAAAATTCAAAGTGAACATTGAAATGACTAAAGTGCTTCGTGAAACTACATTTACAGAACGTGTAATTGAACGTGTTGCGACGAGGCACATTATTTAATTTTTATTATTTTTATACATATTTTTCCCCAACACACACTGCCGCCTAAAACCGCCAATTCTCGCCACCGTTGGTTACCTCTTCCTTTGCTTTTCCCCTCATCGCCCCTCTGCCCGCGCCCCTGGACATCACGAAGACATCAGCCGAAGGAAGACGTCAGTTCCGGCCCCACCCGATCAATTGGAGAAGCCATCGCCCCCTGGAAATTCCCCATACTGGACCCCCGAATATTCAACAGCTGCAATAATCCCTTGTGAGACATCCCTGGATTGTGGTCATCGTCACCACTCACCCGTGCTGATTGGTCCCGATTGCTCCCGAATTAAAAACCGAAGGACATCGACACCTGACGAACCCCCACGAATCGCGAAGGAAAAGAAAAGACCGTCACTCGTGCATCAGCTGCCCCGTGAGTCGCCACGTGCCCCGAAAGTAGTAAATAGTGAATACAGTAAAATTCACCCGGAAGTTATTTGGCAGATAAAAAGAGAATTTTTAATACATCGAGCCCATCCCCGCTCTAGTATTGGTGCCCAGGAAACCTCGAGGTGGAAAGGAGGCTCCCCAGGAAAACGCCCTGGTATTTTGAAGGAGTGCAAGGCGCCGGTGGAATTCCCACGTATTCGCCAGAGTGAAGTCCTGTCGTGAGTACGAGTTACCTCCCTCATTTTCCCTCTTGCCCCCACAATATTACCCTTCATACCCCCCAACGGTGAGCGCACACTCTCCTTTTTGTCCCTCAGTAAATTATCCCATTTAGTTATCTCTTTTGATTACTTCTCTCAACACCTCTAGATACTCCCCCATTTTTCACAATTTAGATTCATCCCTTTTTGACGTGTACTAAAGTAGCCTGGCCTCCCCCACTTTCCTAGATCAGAGCAAAAGGCCTTTTTGACGTCTTCTGAGGATCCATTATTTGTAAAGTTCATAGAATATATCTTATCATTTGAATTTAACCCCTTATTTGATCTATTTCTTTATTTTACTCCTCCTCAATTCAGGAAATAGTCTAATTAAAATAACGATAAGGTCACATGGGCGCCCAACGTGGGGCCAGGCGCTGAAATTAGAGCGTTATTTCTCTCACCTCCTCCCTAATTCGCCGAATTCCAAACCCATTGTATGTGGCTTACCGTTGCGGGTTTGTTTTGACTACGTCAGGTAGCCGGCTTGCCCGATACACTCATCCGTTCATTATATTACGTCATAATACTCTCGCTCGCTTTATTCCTCTCGTATATTTTTCTTCTCGAATATTATTCGCTGGATTTTTGTGTGTCCTCGAATTTATTCTCCTCGTAACCCACCCTCTCTCCCCTCGAGTATTGAACGTGTTATTCCCTCGCATTTTCTTTTCTCGACACTCCATCGCCACTAGGGATGGGCGATATTTGAAAAAAAAATCGATGTTTTTTCTCATAGAACGTAAAAAAAAAACGAAAATTTTCGTTTAATTTTGTATTTATTGTATTTATTAATAGAATCAACATATTTGTAGATTGAATTATTGGATGATTTGTGGGAAAACAAAATGGTGAATCATTTTTCATTTTTTTTCCCATTACTTGTTTACCTTATTTTTTCTTACGGAATGCTAATCATTTGCGTTTTGTCTCTGGAATTGAACTCCATTGAATCTCCATCACATTNCCCATTACTTGTTTACCTTATTTTTTCTTACCGAATGCTAATCATTAGCGTTTTGTCTCTGGAATTGAACTCCATTGAATCTCCATCACATTTCTAGAAATATATTTTTCATTAATTTTTGAATCCCAGCTTTTAATTCTCTTACTTGACTAAGCTTCTTCCCGCGGTCCCCACGAAGCGTGTGACTCACCTCTCCCCATTCCCGCGCCGAGAAAACAAGTAGAAACAATAATCAGGTTGGAGGGTTAAGGGGATGGAAAATAAGTGGAGAAAGAGACGAGAAACAGAATTTTAAATCGCAAGAAAAATCATATCAAACATTTACATACATATGCAGATTTGAATATTCTAAATATCCATCGAACACGTACACCTTAAACCTATGCATTTTCTCGAACCAGGATATTTTGTTATCACATGTGGAAAGACCCCGAAAATAACTACTTCAGTCATTACTTAAATTATTTCAGTCGTTGAAGTCTTTTACTAGGAATATAAGTGTCACATTTCATAGTATCATTCATTCTTATCGTTACCATCGTATTTTTCATGAACAAGCGTGTTTCACAGCCAAACATTTCTGCCAAAAGATTATCATGCTCATCACCACACCTCTGATACTTTTACATTTCACATTAAACCTTCTACCTACAGTCCCCATTCTTC